AACATTCCATAATACTCGACATAATTATAATTAAAATATCTTATGATGACAATAAGTATAACACATAAAAAAATAGAGTAAAAAAGCATTGCGTGATGGACAAGAGATTTTAATGAATTAATTAATTAACTAATTTAACCAATACACTTTGCCTACTTTCACAATCAAGGACTGCTATCTCATTATCATCGCATGATTCAGAATGGCCGTTTCCTACCTCATTCTGAATTTCGTTCTTTCTTTCGTCGGTGATGCGCTCCGTCAGCTTTGTGGCCATTGATACTCTTGGCCAGCCTCATAAATAATTAAATATTCCGAGCGGCAAGCCGCATAAATTACTCTTAGCGCGTTTAACGGATAATTAAGTCTTTCCACAAGAATAAATTACTTGTCGCGCTTGAATTCAAGTTACCGAGCATTGCTCGAAAATCTGGGAAATATATCGTCTACACTCTCTAAATCTGAATCAGTGGATAATCACTGATATCATTGCCAAGTATGCCACTGGTAATCAGTGAATTAAATGTGAGATTCCTAACCTAGCTAATCTTTATTATGTGATCTAACTAACCTTGTTTTAGTGCTTAAATTCAATGAATATGGTACTGGAAGATTGAAATTAACATGCAAATATCAGTATTTTAGTTATATAATGCTCAAATATTCTTTCTTTTTTAGTTGAACCTCACTGATTATCAGTGCCAAGTATGCCACTATGGGTAATTAGTGACTATCCATTGATTCAGATTTAGAGAGTATCCATTCAATTAATTAATTAATAACGAAAGAGATACAAATTAAATCCTGCAGCAAATATTCAGTGGAAAAAAAACGGTGAAATCTCGCAACAAATTTCGAAACAATCGTTTCCAGGTATTAATAAACGCTGCAAATTGAATTTTTAAAGGCGAGCGTTAAAAAGTACGAGTTAACGGGTAGCAGTTAACATAGCATGGCTGTGAAATGCATCACGCTTTTATACGATCCGAGAGAGGAAACGTTGAAACGTGCGCGAGTAATAAAACTACGGGCTGTACCCGGGGTAAAATCAGCGAAAAGGAACCATGAATGGCCGCAACGCATTAAACATTCTCGCCTCGTTTCCCGACGGCGTCGTTCACTTTGTCGACGATTCGTACCACTGGCCCGCGTCTTATTGATATTCTCTCCGTAACAATAGTCAAAATTTACTCTCGTAAATAGATTGAGATCCGATTACACTAACACACGCATTACCATTAATTTTATGACGTTACGTGGCCGTTCTGTTTCGTCGTGATTATAACTTCCCAAAGCCGCACGCGATAATCACGATGTTCGTGCCAACTAAATGTATCTTCGCAATAATCGGGATTAAAAGTTTCATGTTGCAATTAAAGCGATTTAATACAGTCGGATGGTGTCTTGGCATAGGCGTATTCATCGACAACGAAATCCTCATCGCTGAAACTTCCCAACTAAGCTCGAATTTAAAGAGAAGTTCTCTCGGATTTAAGACGGTGAGAAAATTTCTCACAGTTTCCGTGAAACTGTGCGACAATGCAATTGCTTCACGATAGATCCTTCAATTTTCTATCACGGACGAATGGTCGTTATGATTTCGAAGATGCTTTACGATCGTCTTCCTCAATTTGCCGCGTTCGCGCGCTACCGGTGCTACCGTAATCGTAATGTTGCGCTTTACGGGCGCTTTATCGCGCGCGCGTGACTTCGCGTCGATTCGCCGTGATTTAAGGATGGCTCTCGCGAGAGAATATTGTCGGTGGATCCCAATACCGACCGTCTAGACTTGGTATTGCTCACCCAAGATGCACAGGCCTGCAATATCGATTTAACGATGGCAAGATGGAGCAGAAAGAATGTTCTCGAGCTTGCGAAAGCCCTGTCGGCAATGGAGACCATAAAGAACAGCAACGATATGAGCGACTCATATTTGAAATCTGTACGACACACCTGTTCAACTCATTATGGGTTGATAGAATGTTTAATATACAGGGTGTCCTAAAACTGACAATGAATATTTTAAAGATAATCCTTTGTAACATTTTAAGACGAAAAGTTTAATACAAAAATGCCGTGGTTATAGCTATAAATTTCAAATGGGAAGAGTTTAAAAATTACAAATCACAGGATTAGAATTTCGCGCGCTCAAGGATGACAAGATGGTCATTGTGAAGATATTTCCTCGAACTTCATACTTTTGACATAACAAAATTCAATATAATCCTGGTAGAAATTTCATGCATTTTTTGAGCAGTTACTAAACAGTTATACCAACTTCTGTCTAGTAACTGAGAAAGAAAACTACTTAGGATGTTGACTCAATCAGGATGTAACGCTTTGTTTGCAGTTACTGCATACAAAAATTGCGTAAAATCTGAATATTTACTGAATAGAAACACAACAAATAATGAATATTAAATTAATTAATAAGCAAGCCAACTGCTCATGAAATGGACAGAATAAAACTCTATCAAGTTCTTGTCCATTTCCTACTCAGTATTGGCATAACTAATGAGAATACAGTAATATTAGATAGTAACTGGATAGGGTTTAGGAAAACTGCATTTCTACCAGGGAAATTCAGTCCTGTCATTCGTAATTTTTAAACCCTTTCTATTTGAAAACTATCATAGCCTCGACATTTTCGTATTGAACTTTTCATTTTAAAATGTTATAAAAAATCTGTCTTTAAAATATTTATCGTCAGATTTGGACATCCTATATAAAATAAATTTTCTCTGAAAGGTGTATAAAATCGAACGCGAATATTTTATATAGATAGAAGGGGGCCTTGAAACATTAGTAACGAGTCGTGGTATACGTCAACGCCTTATCTACAGAATATCAGAAGAGCGAACGAGTCATGAAAATAGGAAAGACGTCGTAGTTTCGCAGCGAGGATTGAAGCGACGCCCGTCTGGCGTGCTATTTTAATGCGGGAGATGATCGATTAAGTATTCCACGTGCGGTAAGGCGCGTGGCCGTAATTGAATGCACGTCTCGGGATTTTTCACGCATCGCGAAACCTGAGCATCACGACCTGAAAATACCGTAACGAGAATTCCGATGGTTTAAGATGGAGTTTGTTTCATCGCGCTTTACGATCTACCGACCGCACCATCAGTAGTTCTCAAATTAAGAGGCACGTTTCTGGAGGAAACGAGAATGTTTCACAAGCTTTTGAAATCTTAATGTAAAACTGCAATTTTTATCTATCCGTATTCAAGATATTTTTCAGCAAATACATTTTGAATTTGAACAGAATAACTTTATACTAACACAAAAGTTTTTATTTTACAGCAGATTCTAAAAATCTTCATGAAGTGACTTATCCGGAGAAACACCGATATACAAGTTAATTAAATTTCGTACTAATAATTCTGGATATATAAACAGCACCAAACGTAACATTTAAACCCCTAGATGTTTAAAGCTGAGAACAGCTGATCTCTGCAATGCGATGTGTGAGATAATAAGGCCGTACGCGTGTCTCGCTTAGGGGTCCAAGGTTCCCAGATGAATCATTAGCCGAGGAGGCAAAAATAATAATCCCACCTCTGCGATAAATCCGCCGCATTATATATAACTCTTGATCTTTGCATCGTGCAACAACAATATATCATCCTATCGATTGTCCGCCCCCAGATTCTGCATCGAGCAAGTCGAGAGCTTGCAGGCAGCAGCAACGACAGAGAGATGAAGAAAGATCGCTGTGGCTACGCACGCACAGCCTTTCGAGAATCTTCCAGCGCGAGTCCGCCTATTCCTCCGCTTATAATCGCGTTTCGCGCAGTTGTACTCGTACGTGTGCGCGTGGGCGAGGGTGAGGTATGAGAACAGAAATCGAGAGGGAGAATCGTGACTGCAACGGCGTGTATAATGAGAGGGCAATATTCGTAGAATACTACGAGACGCATAAAGAATATTCATAAATATCTAAAATAAAAATCAAATAAAAATATATACATATACCTTTCGTTTAACATCGTGATATATATATATACATAAGTATGCACCAAAAAAAACTAACATTTCAGTTGTCGATTTAGTTAAATAAAGTGAGTGAACGGGGATTTGATTATAATACAAATATTTTGTCTTTCTATCAAATATTTATTCGATATGATTTCCTTTAATTGCAATCACTGCGTTACTATGTCACACTCAGCAAACATAATAGTGATTAAAAGAGAATCGCATTTTTTTTGGCACATACTGTACATATAAATAAAAGATATTACAGAAAACAAACAACTCGTGTAAACTCAAACTATTTTCCGAACAAGTAATTTAAGTGTGTTATTATCGGAACTAGAAATATCTCAAAGGAACATATTGGATCACACGAACGATCAAAGTCGACCGCAAATTAATTTCGTACCGCTTGAGAAAGCAGCAATCAATCGACCAAGAGGCGGCAAAAGCGAACCAGTATAGGTAGCCTAAACCGGAAACAAATGGCCGAAATAAATTTTTACGACAGGAAGATATGTATCGCGTCTCGTTAGCCGTTTCGCCGATCGATCTTTGTCGCACGATTAATGTCTTCTCGGAGCGAAATCCGCGTAGGGGCCGCGCAGGAGAGAGCCAGGAAGCGTCTGAAAAATTCACGCACCACGGGAGACGATCGCGCTTCCTGCCTTCGCGAAATCGAGAAGAAACAAATGATAAAATAAGAGAGAACGCGCGGAAATATCCAGGGCGACGAGATCGCGAAAGGAGCTGCCGATCGATTGAGAGGGAACGCCAATGAGCTTTCATCATTTCTACTTGACGGAGCAAGGAAAATCGAGCATGGAGAGAGAAAAACGGCGAAAAATCGGAGAGAAGTCATCAGGCTGGACGGCTCGAGTAGTCGACACACGTCGTTCAAAGCGACTTTTCGCCCCACATACTCGGAAATGCATCTCGAGTCTGGAATGTGTGGAGATCGCCGACAGATCGAGTGACTTTTCCGGAAAGCGGGATTAATAAACTCGAGCGAGTGGTACGCTTACCTTCGAGATTCGCCATGGAGAACCTGTAGCTGTCGATCCTCGGTGTGTTGATGTCCGAGTTAAAGGGCCTGAGAGTTGCCGAGCTCACATTGTCAAGACCCTGCAACACGAAAGATAGCAAACACATTAGCTTTACTCCCATTGCAATCGAGGAATGTGTGTTGCCGCAACGTGTTAAGCAAATAAGGGCAATGACCGCTGGCATCTGCCCTTTTAAAGGGACTGGTTGATGAAGAAGATTAAAAGTCTCGTTTCTATTCGGTCTAGTAGATTTTAGTAAAACTGCAAGACTACACAAATATTGAACAATAGTTTATCATTGAAACAATAATATTACAATAATTGCACAATTATTGTAAACAATAATTTTTATAAATTTTTTTAAATCGATTTTAATAAATCACAAGCATATAAGAAAATTTTTATAAAAATGCTATCTCCTCTTTTATTACGATCAATTTTGAGAAAGAAGGAGATAGCCGATTTTGATATCCTGTCGTGTATAAATTCGTATGCGGTTTATAAATGTAGCAGCATGCGAATATATTCTTGAATGTCTGAGTTACCAGCCACGAAAAAACGTGGTGTCATGTATGGTGTAGAGGAAAAAAATGATATTCAAATCGAATCCACGTCAGAAAGTAACCCCGGCATTTCTTCGACCTTTCTCGTCTTAGAAATCCACCTCAATCCGTAATCCGCTGGAAATCCTTTTACGTTTCCCAACCCCGATTGCGGATGAGATTTGTACAGTCGAAAGCATTAAGTCACTTGCACTCACAAAGAGGCTTTGCGGCACGTGCGACTTTTTCTGTTCTCTTATAAAATAAAATAAAATAGTTGAGCTACTATTAATTGTGAAAAAAAACTCGCAATCCGTTTTGCATCAATATCGAATATTACAGAGAACATTTTACACAAAAAATATACGTGACACATTCCGGTTATAGATTACCAAAATATTAATCGAGAGAAAAAAAAGTGATTCTGTAATGTAATCTATTTCAAAATTAGTCCTCATCAATCGTGTTAATTAAATTTTTAAAAACTGGAAATATAAATTATTAATAACTTCGCCATAATCTGTCTGCAATGAATTTTCTAAAAAATAATTTAAAAAATTAGCCAAATTGATTATATTATATTATACATTTTTTCGACAATTTTTATACATTTAAACATCTAATAAAAATATTTTGCATGTTTTAATAATAAAAGAACAGCATTTATTTTCAAAATAGTGTTACAAAAAATGTTCTACTTTAGATCTTATGATCTTCTTATACTTTTATTATTAGGAGTGACTCTTATTAGAGGCAGAAATTTTATTTTTAACAGCAACTTCCGCAAGATAAAAATAAGCAGCCTTTGTGTTATCGTTAAGTCGGTGATACGAAGTTGATTAACAGCCTTTGCTTTTCAATATTTTGCGCGATAAAATCATACCAGCGACGAGAGCAGAAGAGCGTTGTGCTCCTCAGCTTCTGAGGATAGCACCAACGGATAACGTGCTTTCTATAATCGTGCGCGCGCGCGCGCGCGCGTGCTTTTAGATAGGCAACCTGACTAGCATGCATCGATAACCTTAGAGAGGTACGGGTTATGGTGAACGACCTGATGGTCATTACTGGGTCACTGAAGTTTAATGCGCGAACTAGGTAGCTCGATACAATGTAAATAGACTGCACGATCACCTTGTCAAAAGGAAACTGGCGCGTCGTAAATTGTCTAGAAGGATTTATAAACAGCGGCGATAGAAGCATGAATGCACAAGTACGCATTGTTCTCTGAGCATTGCGAAATTATAGTTAGCAGTCCGAGAGTTCGTTAGGTATAGATATCCCTGAAGTTTCGTGTGTCTGTGCGTGCGTGCGTGCATGCGTGCGTGCGTGCGTGCGTAGCGCGGAATATTTGTTTTAATGCGCAACCACAGAGATTTTCATTATATTATATTATTACAAATTACAAATTACAAGCGCAGCGTCATACATCAACTACGGTTCGCAACGACATTGTATTTAATGTAATTTATAAATATTTAGCGCGATATATTTACAGAGAGAGAGAGAGAGAGAGAGAGAGAGAGAGAGAGAGAGAGAGAGAGAGAGAGAGAGAGAGAGAGGGGGGAGGGGGAG